TCTTTGTGAAAAAGGAAACGGGGATCTGGCTCCATTTTGGCAATATATCCCAACATATATATATATACAGTGGGGCAAAAAAATATTTAGTCAGCCACCAATAGTGCAAGTTCTCCCACTTAAAAAGATGAGAGAGGCCGGTAATTTTCATCATAGATATACCTCAACTATGAGAGACAAAATGAGAAAAAAAATCCAGAAAATCACGTTGTCTGATTTAGAATTTATTTGCAAAATATGGTGGAAAATAAGTATTTGGTCAATAACAAAAGTTCATCTTAATACTTTGTTATATACCCTTTGTTGGCAATGACAGAGATCAAACGTTTTCTGTGAGTCTTCATGAGGTTTTCACACACTGTTGCTGGTATTTTGGCCCATTCCTCCATGCAGATCTCCTCTAGAGCAGTGATGTTCTGGGGCTGTCGCTGGGCAACACGGACTTTCAACTCCCTCCAAAGATTTTCCATGGGGTTGAGATCTGGAGACTGGCTAGGCCACTCCAGGACCTTGAAATGCTTCTTACGAAGCCACTCCTTTGTTACCCGGGCGGTGTGTTTGGGATCATTGTCATGCTGAAAGACCCAGCCACGTTTCATCTTCAATGCCCTTGCGTATGGAAGGAGGTTTTCACTCAAAATTTGACAATACATGGCCCCATTCATTCTTTCCTTCACACGGATCAGTCGTCCTGGTCCCTTAGCAGAAAAACAGCCCCAAAGCATGATGTTTCCACCCCCATGCTTCACTGTAGGTATGGTGTTCTTTGGATGCAACTCAGGATTCTCTCTCCTCCAAACACAACGAGTAGAGTTTTTACCAAAAAGTTCTATTTTGGTTTCATCTGACCATATGATATTCTCCCAGTCATCATCCAAATGCTCTCTAGCAAACTTGAGACGGGCCTTGACATGTACTGGCTTAAGCAGGGGGACACGTCTGGCACTGCAGGATTTGAGTCCCTGGCGGCGTAGTGTTACTGATGGTAGCCTTTGTTACTTTGGTCCCAGCTCTCTGCAGGTCATTCACTAGGTCCCCCCGTGTGGTTCTGGGATTTTTACTCACCGTTCTTGTGATCATTTTGACCCCACGGGGTGAGATCTTGCGTGGAGCCCCAGATCGAGGAAGATTATCAGTGGTCTTATATGTTTTCCATTTTCTAATAATTGATCCCACAGTTGATTTCTTCACACCAAGCTGTTTACCTATTGCAGATTCAGACTTCCCAGCCTGGTGCAGGTCTATAATTTTGTTTCGGGTGTCCTTTGACAGCTCTCTAGTTTTGGCCATGGTGGAGTTTAGAGTGTGACTGTTTGAGGTTGTGGACAGGTGTCTTTTATACTGATAACGGGTTCAAACAGGTGCCATTAATGAAGGTAACGAGTGGAGGACAGAGGAGCCTCTTACAGAAGAAGTTACAGGTCTGTGAGAGCCAGGAATCTTGCTTGTTTGTAACTGACCAAATACTTATTTTCCACCATATTTTGCAAATAAATTCTTTAAAAATCAGACAATGTGATTTTCTGGATTATTTTTTCTCATTTTGTCTCTCATAGTTGAGGTATATCTATGATGAAAATTACCGGCCTCTTTCATCTTTTTAAGTGAGAGAACTTGCACTATTGGTGGCTGACTACATACTTTTTTGCCCCACTGTATATATATATATATATATATATATATATATATATACATTTATATATATATAAATTTCTTAGAACCGTAAAGTTACAGTCATATTTACTGTTTTTCAAGGCTGCGCTTTTAAAAGATTAAATTGTCCAGGGAGCTGTTTCCAAACGAATTTTATTTTTGTTTTACAAAATGACAAATAAAATCTGTCTAAAGTCTAATCAAAATATTCTATTCTTCATTAAATATTTGATCAAATCAATTGTAAAATGTAAATTTTTCAATAACTTTCCTGAAATATTTAATCAAAGTCAGCTGCAGATCAATTAAAAAAACTTGAAAAAATAATTATGACAGACTTTCTTGTAGCAAGCATAACTTATTTGTGAAGCAGAGAGATAATAAAAGATGTGTTTTGTGGACATGAGTTTAAAGTATACGTAAGTAATAAAACAATTAGACTTGTACTTAGGCAAACTTTTAATGTAATTTTGTACACAGGGTGTATAGAAAATGAAATGTCGTTCAGGACAGCTCTCAAAACATTTCAATTTCTTAAAGTGCAGCTGTAATAAAACGTAAACATGGGATAAAATGTAAACATAAGTTTTCCAACATTCAGCACTTTTTTTTTCACCCCATGTTTGACAACATTCAGCAGTCTAATGGCGGTGGGGAAGAAGCTGTTGCAGAACCTGCTGGTCCTGCATTGAATGCTGCAAAGCCTCTTCCCAGAGGGCAGCGGGGAGAACAGTCCATGGTGGGGGGGTGAGGGGTCACTCATAATGTTACGGGCTCGCGACATGCAGCCCTGGGATGAAATGTCTTTTATGGTGGGAGGAGGAGCCCTTGTGCTCTTCTCTGCAGTAAATATATTTAATTGTTAATTTAGAATAATTGTTTCATCAAATTGATTCATGCATCTCAAGTCACATTGAAAATCTGAAATGAGCAGCAAGTGACGGCATTAGCAGTTCTACTAAACTAGCATTGAGTTATGTTATTTGAATAATCACATAATACATCAAAACAGAATATCATATTTCCAGAGCTTTAGTCTTGAAATAAAATCTCGAGTCTCAGTGTTCAAGAGTGAGTCCATATGTGACTGAGTCAAAGAAAAGACCATCAATACAGGTTCTTCTCAAAATATTACCATATTGTGATAAAGTTAATTATTTTCCATAACTTAATGATAAAACTTGAACAGTCATTTATTTTAGATTCATTGCACACTAACTGAAATATTTCAGGTCTTTTATTGTTTTAATACGGATGATTTTGGCATACAGCTCATGAAAACCCCAAATTCCTATCTCACAAAATTTGCATATGTCATCCGACCAATAAAAGAAAATTGTTTTTGATACAAAAAAGTCAAACTTCAAATAATGATGTACAGTTATAATGAACTTTATCACAATATGCTAATATTTTGAGAAGGACCTGAATATGGTGCTGCAGCACCCTATACATCAAGAACTGGTCTTCCAGCCTTCATCACTGCAGACAAAGCAGAGCTTCAGCCCTAATGCTTTATATGCAGAGGTTCTAATGAATTACTGAATTAACCCAGACCATGTTATAACCGGTGGTGGAGAGTAATAAGGTACATTTACTTGATTACTGTACTTAAGGACGTTTTTGAGTATATTTACTTTACTTGAGTATTTTCTTTGGGGGGTTACTTATAACATTTTACTCCATTTCGAGGAAGCTGCTCATTACTTCTTCCTTTCGGCTCAGCTTAGCTTTTTAATCCATTGTTGCTGTTTTTCTTTCTTGAACTGCAATTTCAACATTCAAGATAGCAGCCCTTAGGACTGAATTTGGACACCACTGGTTTAGAGATTAGCATGATAATAAATAAATGCAGTGGCGGCCTGGGCTATAAATCCAAAATGGACATATACTAAGTTATAAAACCAGTATATTTATATGACTGCATACAACAAAAAACATAATAAAAATACTGTTTTAAAAACAAAGCAATATTTCACTTACAAGTTTACATTTTCTACATAAATCTTGCCCTTCTGAGGCTTTGTGAAGTTAAATCTGTGTTTGCATGGTCCAATGCTGTGTCACAAACCTAAAAAAATAATATAACAGTTTAATAATGGAGAGGCTATTAGTATATATTTATATATTTTTAATGTATAAAACTATTTATTTTCTGAGAATGTTGTGGTACCAGTTTGTGGGGTTAGATTGTGTTCTTTTTCAGTTCCACCGTTCATCCAGCAGATGTTGCCGTTGGGTTAATTCTGTCTTGGAGGGCTTGCCTACCCGTCTCAATTACCCACACCTGCAGTAAATCTCTCCTCACCTCAGAGGAGTATATGAGCAGCTGACTGTCATCACCTCTTTGCCAGAGTGTTTGCCTGTTTTGGGTACTCTAACCCCTCTGAGCTTTTGCTGAGTAAACCTTTGTACTAGTGATGCTGAGATGAAGCCTCATAAGGCATTGAATCCCCACAGTTCATGAGACTTCATGTGAACATGTCACCACCTACTGGTGGAATGCAGAACTACAGTTTGTAATGAAATCTGTGATTTTTCTGCAATAGTTTTTCTTTTTTTTCCCCTTTTAAGTTCCTTTGAAATTGTTAATAGTTGATTTGTATAATAAAATCTTTTGTAATTTTTTTAAGTGTAAAATTTCTTAGAACAATAATTTAAGGTGCATAGTTTTTCTGCCATTTTAGTGAAATAAACTCAAGCAGACAGTGAAAGTGTTTGTGCAAATTGGGCAATGATGAGCAAAATGAAAGGTGTTAGTCATTTTTATTCAAACATGATAGTTTTTTTCCCCACGTTTTTTGGTTTTAATCAGGTTGGAAATTGTGTTCAATCAATCTTTTGGCTAAACCGACTTAATTTACCCAATCTATGTTTTTACTAGGGCAAAACCATGCAAATTAGTCTCATCAGCCAAAATAATTAAGTTTAATCGCAACTTTCAAAAGTCAAAGACAGGTCTTGAACCATCAACCTCTAGAGTTCAAGTCTAAGTCTTATAATTGACGCCACCTATGTAGATAACTGCAGCATGGAAAAAAACTACTAGTGACGTGTTAACACTGATTTTGTCCGGTGGCTTGCTCAGATTTTGATCATTACATAATTTATTCCACTCAAAATAATTTTAAGCAGCTAGATTGGTTGTTTTTCCAACCAATCTACTCTTAGAATCAATCCAAACTCTATCCATCTGACAGCAACTCTCCTCCAATCTCACACATCTTGACTGAACACTGGGGCTGTTTAAATGCCTGTAAAAATTCTTGCACTTCCTGAACCACTTCCTAAAGAGGTAACGTGGTATCATGGTAGCGAGACCTAATCAATTTTGATCCCTCCTCTAAATGAATCACGCTATGGGGAAATGCCCCTTCCATAACTCGACACACGCCTCGAAGCCTCGGCTCATCTCATAACATCACTACTTTGTAGTTTTCCAGTGAATTCATGCTCTTACCCTTTGTTTTTTTGTGAATCTTCAGCAGGAAACCTACAGATCCTCTGAGAACTTATCCACCTTTATCCAGCCAAGTCCTCCACAAACTGGAACCTCAGACCACCCTCCAACTCAAGCAAAGAGTTCAAGTAAGAACAGAGAACCAGTCTTCTGAATTTTTTCCCAACCAAATTAGAACCCACCTAATCTCTCTTTCCTTTGTGCAGTCGAACCTGGATTCCTGGCCGCAGGACCCCCAAGCTGAGAACCCTTTTTCTGTCTCTTTGTTTCAGAAAAAGAAAATAAACTTTCTAACTTTGACAATCTCTGTGTGTTTCTGCATGTGGGCAAAAAGGATTAGACCCATCATGACAGAGGATGTGTTTATTGATGAACAACTATGCAAATTAAGAAACATCTAGAAAAAGTAGACTTTATTATTCTTCTTTATGCTTTTTTGCCTTTTCTAAAAAGTGCTTTAAATCAGTCCTAGCGTCTTTATCCATGCTGGCTCAGATCGTGACCTTTGAAAAAGGAGGCAGGGAAGCAGCATAAAGCTACATGCTGCTAGCCAAGCCTTCTTGCTAAAGCAGGACCTGGAAAAGGACGTTTGTTGCACCATTTCTCTCTCTCCACGACTCGACCTGTCAATCACCCGCAAAAAGTCTGCTCTGTGGCAGGAGGTGGTGAGCAAATGCACTTCCTGTCACCTCAGGGCGCATCTCCTATACTTTTGTATCGCAGAACTTTTAACAACGAACAACTTTTAACGACAGTCAATGGGCAAAGATTTTTGCGCCCTAGAATGGAAATACGTCACCAATCTGACGAAAAATGGAATGAGGCTTTACTAGTCATTAAAGATTCAATATTTTTCTCGCACACCTAAAAAACATATATATATATATAGAAATATTTCACAATATTTTACATTTTAATTTAAAATTAGATAATTAAAAAAATTATTAATTTTTTAATATATCTTAATCAGGGTCATTGGGTGTGGGGCGGTGCCCTAGCGCCCTCTATTGGCCAGCAGAGACTGCTAAAAAGTGAGAAACTCAGGTTGTAGTTTCTTTGTGGTAATAGATTCAACATTAAACCTCTATGCAATAGAGAGTTTGAGGAGAATCAAGGCTCTCCTGCTTTCTTTTTGGTTTGATTTGAATATTAAATGATAATCATGATAACTGTGTTTATTTTTTGTGCCATTTTTATGTTGAAGTTCTTTACAAGTGGTGTAGAATTGGTAGCAGGTGGTTCTACGCATCAATACATCAGCAGACATCCCAAGTCTCCCGGAAGTTCCAGGAGTCTCCCTGATATCGATAGTTGTTTACAGATTCCCGCGAGTCGGATAAATTATCCTGGATTTTAGACTATGGGAGGTGGAGTTTTTTTTTTTTTTTTTTATGCGAGTTAGAGCGGGCAGGCAGTACAATAATTTGTGCATCACGTGCGGATTAGAACTACTTCGAATGCACAGGAACAACAAGAGAGAGAGCAGAATGTGAGGAGGAGGTTACTTGTGAAACCTGAGCAGCGTATCTGTTCAAAGCGATGCTCTGTTCAAACGGCGTTCCCAGCGTTTCTCTGGTTACTCTCTGGCAGTCACCTAGTTACCACTCAAAGCTGTGCATCCTGTGAAACAGCAGAGGGTGAATCCTCGAGTAAAAAAAAAAATATAGGACTAATTTTACAGCAGAATAAACTAAAGTATATCCATGTCTAGTGAAGGTGAGGAACAGTGGCGGATCTAGACCCAGTGTACCAGGGGGCCAGGAGGGGGCCAGCGTGTTTTCATGGGGGCCCAGAAAAGCACGAAATAAAAATCAAATTTAAATTTTTTTTTACACATTTTTGACTTAACTTGAGTTAAAACTACAGTTTTCTATAAAAGTTGAATTAGAACTCAAGAAAAACTGTTATTAATGTTATTTAACTCATCTGTAAAAATTTGAGCATTTTTTCTTTATTTGTTGTGAAAAAAAACATTTAGCAGATGAAAACTGGGATCCTATCTCAGTACCACTGAAGCTATCACCTTATTGTTTTTGAATAATTAGTAAAACAGAATTTGTAAAGAAAAAGAATGAAATAGATCCAAAGGACCTATCAGTAATCATGTCTGTTCCAGCTCGGATCATTATTAGAATTTCTTTTTAGTATTATGTCTTCAGTACAGGGGCCAGGACATGACCTACAGGGGGCACTGGCCCCCGTTGGCCCCCGTCTAGAAATAGCCCCCGTGCTATTTCTTCTGTGTTGTCCAATCTATCTGATATTGTTTCATTAAAAGAACATCAGAGAATGTTTTCGCCCTTCTCCCGACCGGATTTGGCAAGAGCTTGATCTACCAAATGGCTCCTCCTCTCACAGCGTCACGGGTTAGCTTCGGTGTGAGTGGTTGAAATAGCACGTCAATAAAGATGACAGACAAGTGGCTTATCCAATCATATGCAAGGAGTTTTGATAAGGCCCAGCCTTTAGCAAAGGCAATTCCTATGGCGGGTTCCCAGATGTATGTGAGTGGAGCTAGGCGGAGCGAGACATGCATCTGGCTGTTGTCAGGTTAAGAAACTGCCCCTAGTGAGGTAAATGCAAACAGCAACTGCAGTTTCAGTTATGTAAAACCAAGGAACTGAGCACGGGCAGAAAACGCCACTGGTGAGGTAAATAAACGAGCAGTATCAGCTGTGAAAACAACCAGCTGCCAAATTAAACACAGCAGGGCGAGACGCCACCCGCGGGGTTCGGAAAAATGAAAGAAAAACAGACTCACCGGACACCAGATGAAATCCGTAGGCACAATAATCGTCACTTGCGCAGCCCCTGGAGGGCGAGCACGCCCGCAGCTACGATCACAAATGATCACGGGCTACTAGAAGCAAGCTGAAGTAGGAAGCGGTTATACAGAGAAACTCACGCGTCTGTAGAAAGAAACCGCTCACAACAAACCTGCGTGCGAGAAGATGAGAAGGGACTGAGCTACCAGTGTCACGTGCCTATATAGGCTTCCGCTAATCACCGGTAGGTCACAGTTGACTTTGTTGATACTAATTCTCAACCTGCGCAAGAGTGATCATTCAGTGCTTCAAGCACCGCCTCTGGCGGTCATCCGGGATTCATAGAACCGTGGTTACATATGTAACCTTCGTTCTGACTCTTCCATTGGACCACAGTTAACAGTTAAGAAACAGCTTCTGATCCAGTTTGGGAGAATTTCCCCCTGGTTGATCTCTGAAGGGTTTTTTAGAACTTATTAAATGGATTGATGATCGTAAACTCACATTAAAACTGGTTTTAGAATAAAGTATGAAGCTAAATCGTCTCAAAAAGAACCACATGCGTAAAACACGATATGTAATTGTACTAAATGTGTACCTTGCCCTTTAAAATATGTAAGTGCGCAGTGTATTATTTCTTGTGTATTATGAATGCTGTAAACTTGAGAAACTGTTAACACATTTATAAATGTCAAGGCACACATTTGAGCTTTGTGTGATGCACATTTGTGAATGAATATGTACATTTATAGATCTTGTTTTACACTCGTGGATCTCATTTTACGCATATGTGAATCTTTTAGAGCGATTTAGCTCCATGCTCAGCTTTTACTCTGACTAACTGTACGTGCTCTCTTCCATAGTTTCTGATATTAAAACTGACTCAGACCTCATCGGGTTGACTGCTTCTTTCCAAGAAAGAGCCACTAATGGAGCAAGTTTAGCTTGACCTTTTCTAACATGGAAAGCATTCATGAATCAGTTCTTCTATGCTCTTTATCTGAAATAAATATTTATAAACATTAAACCAGGGATAACCAATTAAAAA